TCCAATGGGTGTCAGTAGAATTTACTCCCGTTTACGTGGCATCTCTATTGAGAAATTTGGCGATTTCTGTTAGTTTCAAGTTTTGACTCTCTCTCAACCCTCCAGCATTCTACAAAATGTACAAAAAAAAATAAAAGTCTAGCAGTGAAGGAAGTCCATTATGATAAAAAAAAATAAATGCTATAGCAAGTTGGCTAATCTGAACTCAGGTGTAGACACTGAACAAGGTAGTCTTCAAAAGATTCAAGCCAAAAAGGTGTTTAACTTGCCGAGTGTCTGTTTAAAACTGATATTTCAGTTTTTAATAGACAGCTCCTTAAATATTTAACAATAGTGCCAAATGAATGGCTCTTAACCATTTCAATACCGGGCACTTTTACCCCCTTCCTGCCCAGGCCATTTTTCAGGTTTCAAAGCTCTCACACTTTGGGTACAGTGTTGTATGACCGTGCAATTGTTATTCAAACTAAAATTTTATCATTTTCTTCACACAACAACTAGAGATTTCTTTTGGTGGTATTTAATCACCGCTGGGGTTTTTATTTTTTGCTAAATTACACAAAAAAAAAAAGACCGAAAATTTTGAAAAAAAAAAACACACGTTTTTCCTTGTTTCGGTTATAAAAGTTTGCAAATAAATAATTGTTCTTCATAAATTTAGGCCAAGATGTATTCTACTTTATGTCTTTGGTGAAAATAACCCAAATTAGAATGTATTTTTTAGTTTGTAGCAAAGTTATAGAGTTCACAAACTATGGTATAGATCTGAATATTGATCAATCCGGAAGTACTGACAAGCCAATCTAATTTCTTGAGGTCCAAGAATGTCAGAATAGTACAGATATCCCCCAAATAACCCCTTTTTGCAAAAAAGTAGTACAGTCCAACATACTTCATAAGAGGCATGGCGAGATTTTTTTGAAGTTGTACTTTTTTTGCCATAATTTTTCGGAAAATGAAAAAATTAAAAAAATTATTTTCACTATTTTTTTTTTTTTTTTTCGGTCACCAGTGCAGTACAGCGTCATCATATAACTGGCATGGCAGTGATCTGGGACATGACTGGTGACAGTATGGGAAAACAATATATATATATATTATAAATGTTGTGTATATATATATATATATATATATAAAAATTTTTAATTATTTAAATTTTTTTTTTTATATTTCACTATGTCCAAAGTAGTACAATGTTACCATAGTAAAATTGTACTACTTTTGTGGGGAAGTGATCAGTATTTTTTTTTTTTTTTTTTTGTGTTTTTTTTTTTTACACTATTTGCTTATAGCAAAGAATTATTTTGCTGTAAGCAAGCATTTACCTGAATGACATCGATTCATTCAGGGTTTTATTTTTTTTGCGCTAAGCTGTGATTTTGCCACAGCTAAATCGCATGACATGTGCATGTGATCGCGGTGACCATTCACAGCTAGACACTAGTATACAATGGATGGCATGAATGAAGCCATCCATTGTATACAACTGTCATGCTGTTGGTCACAGACCTGCTGTGATTGGTCACAGCAGGTCACATGGTACCGGCAAAACGGGGGGCCAGTACTCAGCTCTGTCATCGGCCATGTCCGAGGTACACGGCCAGTGACAGATCGTGCCGTTGCGCAGCTCTGCAAGCGTGAAAACTGCGCATGTGCGGGAGTATACAACCCATATGGCGTCCACCCGGAAATCTACAGCCTTTTCCCGGCCGCCAAACGGCTATTGGCCGGGCGGCTATTGGTTAATACACCTATTCATTTTATTGGTCTTAAAAGGCGTGTCAAACATAGGTGACATTGGAAAGCAAATCAGACCATTGAGTATAATTGATATAACGCCTACATTTGACTTTTTATTCATATCACAAATTAACGTAAGCAAAGCTACTATTTGACAGAGTTCATCAATCCTTTAAGATATGCACTTTGCCTGGGGTTTGGTTATCACTGTGTTGTTGAATTGTATACAGGTAATTAAAAAGAGAATAAATACATTGTAAAACAAGATTATAAAATACTGTTAAAAACCTTGAAGACGTTCATGTCTTTCAATATTTATCCAACTTTCTAATAATGCGGTATAAAAAAAAGATTTTCTAGTTGACAATTTTGCCTGTGCTGCTCAAGGATGGAAAACCAGGGGGTTCAAATATAAATGCATAGCTATTGAGAACCAGATGCAATACAGACATTTCCTAATCAACTAATAGGAATGGTCGACCTAGATTCAGGAAAAAAACCAAATCACTTTTAGATTCCAATTATCAAGCCTATTAGCTACAATGGAATTTTGTTTTCATGCTACTAGACTGCTAATCAGTGCTACTGATCCTTGATGATGAGCTTTTGAAACAGGCAACAGTTAATGTGTCCAGCCAAAATTTATTTTTTTTTAAATTAGAAGAGTAGAACGCTTGGTACACACGGGCTGACTATCAGCCAGTTCAACGCAAGCCGGCCAACATTCGGTCCGTGTGTACAGCAGCCTGTCTGGTTTGTGTCAAAAGGGCATGCTGGAAAAAAAGCAGCCAATCGGCATCAGATAAATGCTGGCACCCAATGGCTGCAAGCACTGACTGGTGTGTTCTGGCAGGAAGGCAGTCCGCTTGTCAGAAAACAACAGCTCAACTAGGAGATTGTATATTTAGTACAGCGAGCTCCTCAGTTTTTTTTTCTCTGCGCTCAGCCCGCTGGATTGAACAAAAGAAAACAGCCTGTGTGTACCAGGCTTAAAAAAAAAAAAACTATCAGCTTATATCAGGGTTCTCTTAGAGGTTTTCCCTCGCTTATTGTGACAAAGGTTTCACCAGACTGGAAGCAAGGAAACATCTCTATTACAGTATCCTCAATACATCAGCATGAAGCGTTTCATTTTGTGAAGAAAACTTTCTTTTTCAGCTGCTCATTCCATGACTCCCACCCTTCTCCTGCAGACAGCAGGATGAAGAGTGGAGGGCAATGAAATGGGCAGCTTAAAAATAAGCACTCTTTGTAAAACAGAGCTCTGCCTGTAATCTCTGCATGTAAATGCATGAGGACACAGTAATGCATAGGAAGGTTTGTGGCAAAAGTCCATAAAGATGAACACTTTAACGTTAACAAAACTTGTGCTCAGTCATAGGTTAGTAGTGCCAATTTGGATTTCCTCAGAACAGTACTAGAAGGTCTTCGAGCCAACCAATACCAAAGAGAAAACTAAAAACTAGTTTTCTTTCAATTTTTCCTGTCTTTCATAAGAAAAAGAGAAAAGGACTTCTTACACAACAAACAGTAGAAGACAAAAAATAATGGGACTTTCAAAGGTGCCCTCCCATGTATAGAACATACAATGTAATGAAAATGTCACATGCGGTTATTTTTGCACATTTAAAAAGCTGATCATAAGATCCTTAAAATACATAACATTCTGGCCTCAAAGGCCTATATATTAACACAAAATCCTAAATTCAAACAGGTTGCCATCCTCATCCCTTACCCTTCAGCATACAACTCATGTGTTTATTTCTTATACTTTGAGTATTTTTCAGAATCTTGCATGCTGATAGAATTGGGGGGGGGGGGGGGCACCAACGGCAGATATACAACACATTTCATGGATTCAAGGACTACCACATCTTCAGGTTCTGTGAAACCATCAATGAAAGAAACATATCTACATTGACATGTTATTGTAATCCAACTTCTTGAAAGGATCATAAATATGTTTACAATAATACAAATCTTTCTTCAGGTGGAAGGACCAGCAACTTGCGACCACCACCACCCCTAGCCTCCATCCCAGGAGGAGAGCCAGCTGGGGGAAAAAAAGTTGTGGGTGTAAGTGAAGGGGGTTTCCTTAACGAATGTCATAAATATTCCTATTTTATATACATACCAACAAGACACATTACAGCATAGTTTCATCCAGATATTAGAAAAACAGGTATCTGGGTGGGATTATGCTACAATGTGTCTTGTTGGTATATATAAATAGGAATATTTTTGACGTCCAATAAAGTTCCCCCTCTTCCAAATCCCCCCTTTTTTCCCCACTTGGCTCTCCTTCCAGGGGGAGACTAGGTGTGGAGGTGGTCCCCAAGTTCCTGGTCCTTCCAGCTAAAGAAAGATTCTTTGTATTAATATATACACAATACAATAATATGTCTTAATGTGTACATATAAGTTTCATTCATCTATAGAGTTTCACACAACCTGAGGAAGTGGTGTCCCTGAATCCAAGAAACACGTCGCACTTCTGCTGTTGGTCCCCCCCAACTCTATCAGCATGCAAGATTATGAAAATGTCTCTAATATAAGCAGTTAATGCATGAGTAATTATCAGTAGGGTAGAGATGGGTATGGAAAACTGAATTTTTAAATGTAATCAAATTTATGATTTTGTGGCCAGAGGAAGAGGGAGCCATGTGATGAACTGAACTGCGCACCACACTGTCCCCTACCACAGCTGGAACAGAGAGTTGCCTGAGCGGTAAAGTGCTCCTGCAGCTGTGCATTCCTGGGTGAATACAGCCTATGAATACAGATCTAATGATCAACATTTTAAATGTACAAGAATAAAACAGGTATGCAGTTTAATTATACGGTATGCCCTATACACATGAGGGCACCTTAAAGTATAAACTAAAGGCAAAAAGAACATTATAAAGATTTCTCAAATGAAGTTGTGAAATACTAAAAACATTTATGTTGCTCACTGTAGAGGGAGTTGGAGTGGTTCTCTTCCGCTCAAGCCCAGATAAGGGACTAGGTGGTACCCTAACTGTGCTACTGGATTTGCGACCACTCTCTCGCTCCTCGTCAGGTCGCTTGTTTTCAGCGTTGTTACTTTGGGTCTTTTTGGAGTAGGAATTTGATGTCGGGATTGCTGGTCCAGCTAAAACCAAAACACAAATATACAAAAAAAAAAAAAGAGGGCATTTAATGAAATCCTAAGTTGCTTATATATGACGAAAAATACTTTATATTAGGAGTACCAATATATAGGCAAAAACTCACCCTGGTCACTTAGTCTTCTTTGTGTTGGTATTGGCAGATACACTGCGGTGTACCTTGTGAGCAGGTGAAGGAGCTGTACTGTTGGTGATATCTGGAGGCGGTCTAGGCTTGAGGGTCATGTTGTATTGTCCAGCTAAGGAGAACACATGGAAGTTAAATAAGATACTTTCTACATGTATCTTTGATATATTCAAGAAAATGGTAAACAAATGAAACAATTCACATACAATATCTCTTTGCAAAAACAAAATTTAAATCACACAATTGCTATATGGCTTTCATGATAATAATTCTGCTTGTGTGTCTGGTAAAAATTTCTGTATTGGTAGATCTTTAACTGGATTTTTATTTGCTTTTACTATCGGGTCAGCTGTTTAAATAGCCTTACTCTGGAAACCTCTTCATTTGTTTCCCAGTAAAAATTGCTTTGGCCTTTTGTTGATCTTAACCGCTTGCCGCCCTGCCACTGTGTATATACGTGTGCAGGGCGCCAGTGGGAGCGCAAAACCACGTTTTAAAAACGGGTTCCACGCTCCCGACACTTTCGCCGGCAGGGGGCGCGCGCTCCCGCCGACCCTGCGGGTGATCCGATTCGATCCAGGAGGGATCAATCATTAGATTTCAGCCAGTGATTTCTGGCTGAAATCGGTTTGATCGGTCCCTGTCCTATCCTGTCATGTGTTGATATTTACACAGGGCAGGATATGATGTCATTCTTGTCTGCCTGGGACACATTCCGTTCCAGACAGAGAAGAAGAGACATTTAAACGGAGTAAAACAGCACACACTGACAGTTAGAACACAGTCTAGGGACACATTTAACCCCCTGATTGCCCCCCCCCAGTTAACTTCACTGCCCTGTCACCAGTGTCACTGATCAGTGAAGCGATTTTTATTGATCACTGTATCAGTGTCGCTGGCGACTTCCAATATAGTGCTAGCGCCCCTCCCAGATAGCGCCAGTTTGCCCCCCAGTACACCAATAAAGCCATTTAACCCTTAATATCCCCCCCCACCACCCCCCCAGTTAACCCCCTTAACTGCCCTGTCAACCAGTATCACTGATCAGTGAAGCGATTTTTACTGATCCCACTGTATCAGTGTCGCTGGCGACTTCCGATAGTGTTAGCGCCCCTCCCAGATAGCGCCAGATTGCCCACTAATACACCAGTAGTTCCGTCTAACCCCTTGATCGCCCCCCCCCCCCCTGAGTTGACCCCTTCACTGCCCTGTCACCAGTGTCACTGATCAGTGAACCAATTTTTACTGATCACTGTATCAGTGTCGCTGGCGACTTCCAATAGTGTTAGCGGCCCCTCCCAGATAGCGCCAGTTTACCCGCCGCAGTACATCAGTAATCCCATTTAACCCCTTGATCGCCCCCCCAGTTAACCCCTTCACTGCCCTGTCACAGTGTCATTGATTACAGTGAACAGATTTTTACTGATCACTGTATTGGTACTGGTGACTTGGTACTGGTGACTTCCGATAGTTTTAGCGCCCCTCCAGATAGCAACCAGTTTGCCCGCTAGTACACAAATAATCACATTTGACCCCTTGATTGCCAGGAAACACGCTTACTTGCACGCTAAACCTTCATTGCTAGTATAGTGTCTGATTGCATCAATATCTTTGATCAGATCAGCGCTATACCAGCATTCACATTACTTTAGTATCCCCAAAAACGTAGTGTTAGAGGGGATCAGCCCCAACACCTGCCAGCACCTGCGTTTATTAGCCCTACGCCCCCCCCTTCTCCCCCGGCAAGTGCAGTGTCAGTAGATAACTGTCACTTGATACATATTACACACAAAACCGCAGTGTTCACAGAATCAGGCATGATATCTGTTAGCACTTGTCGGTAAATTTTTTGTAGCGGTTTTCAAGCAGTCCCTGACAGCCAGGCGCTCTTTTTCCGTGAGTCGCACTAGGTACCTGTAAAAATTTAGTGGCCAAAATGTCTAAGCAAAGTACACTAGTGAAGAGGCCTATAGGATTCTGAGCATGTCAAGTGGAGAGGAAGGGGAAGACTCACTGGCAGAACCAGGCTCAGAATACGAACCTATAGACAGCAGCGGCACCCTGACAGCTAGCTCAGACGACGAGGAAGTGGTCCCTGCTAAGGTCAGGCGTACCCGATCCATTCACAGGTTGCTGAGGTGGTACAAATGCATGATGACTCTCATATGCAGCAGAGTGCCAGTACTAGTGCCGCAGTATCTTTTGGTGAACTGGCGAGCACCAGCGGCCTAGTACGTCCTGGTCGTAGGCATACCAGCACTGCAGTATCACTTGGTGACGTGGCGAGTCCCATAAGTGCAGTACAAGCTGGTGCGGTGGCGAGCACAAGTAGTGTCCGCGGCCACCAAGAATTCGCAGACAGGCCCGTAGAGCCCCTAGTGTCCTTCCGGATGTGCTTGCAAATCCCGATTGGCAGCCCACAAATTCTGCAGCACTCGTACTTCCCCCATTCACTGCCCAACCCGGAATTCAGGTGGAAACAGCAAAATTTAAATACTCCCCTTAATTTTTTTGAGCTGTTTTTCACAGAAGATCTTTATGCATTGATTGTGGATCAAAGCAATTTATATGCACGCCAATTTATCGCCGCCAACCCAAATTCAAACCTTGCCAGACCATTCGCATGGAAACCCATTACGGTTTCCGAATTTAAAGTTTTTTTGGGCCTAACCCTCAACATGGGCATTAATGATAAAAAATCAATTGCGGTTGTATTGGTCCACCGACCCTCTTGTTCACATGTCCGTGTTCTCTGCTGCCATGGCCAGGCATAGATATGAGAGTATAATGCGTTTTATGCACTTCTACGACAACTCACTCAGTCGTCCTCGGGGTGACCCTGAATTTGACCGGCTCCACAAAATTCGGCCCCTCGTAAATCACTTTAACCAAAAATTTGCAGATGTGTATACTCCCAGAAAAAACATCTGCATCGATGAGTCCCTCATTCAATATTCTGGCCGCCTTGTAATCAAACAATATCTCCCCAGCAAGCGTGCCAGATATGGGATCAAGATGTATAAGACCTGTGAGAGGGCAACAGGCTATACATGTAAGTTTCGGATTTACGAGGGAAAATATAGTTACTTGGAGCCCCCGGATGCCCAGACTACATGGGGAGCAGTGGCAAGATAGTTTGGGACTTGGCGTCATCCTATTTCCATATGGGGTACCACTTATACGTGGATAATTTTTATTCAAGCGTGCCACTATTTAGACATTTGTTCAATTTGGGAATTTGCACATGTGGCACTGTGCGATCTAATCGCCGAGGCTTCCCCCAACGGCTTGTAAATACCAGTCTTAAAAGGGGGAAAAAGCCTGCTTGAAAAATGAAGAATTGCTCGCAGTGAAGTGGAAGGACAAACGGGATGTTTACCTCCTGTCTTCCATTCACGCAGATACGACGTCCAAATTACCACGGCAGCTGGTGTTGTTGAGAAGCCCCTCTGTGTCCACGATTATAACCTTAACATGGGAGGGTGTGGACTTCAATGACCAGATGATGCAGCCGTATTTAGTTTCCCGAAAATACAAACGCTGGTACATAAAAGTGTCAGTTTTATTTATTTCAATTGGCTCTATATAATGCTTTTGTTTCTCTATAAAGCAACTGGGACATAGTGGATCATACCTAAATTTCCAGTTAGAGAACATCAGGGCCTTTTGTATCCAGAAGGTGCTGCGCCCCAAATCCCTCTCCCAGATGCAGTTAGCCGTCTGCATGAGAGACATTTTCCCGATACCATTCCTGGTACCCCAACCCAAAGAAGACCCCAAAAAAGATGTGTCTGCAGCAAACGTGGAATTAGGCGTGACAGCCGCTATTGTTGTCCCTCCTGTCCTGGCCAACCTGGCCTCTGCATCAAGCCCTGCTTCCGCCTCTACCATACACTAGTGAACTATTAGTATAGGGGTACAGCACGGCACAGATCAGGGCACATTTTACACAGGGTCTCAAAAGATGTTAGGTAGTCAGGAAACTGGCTATCGCATTTGGAGAGACCCTACCAGCTGTTTAAATGTTTGAAGTTTGGAAAAAAAAAAAAGTAAAAAAAATAAAAAAAATAAATAAAAGTACAATACCCCCAAAAAAAAAAAAAAATGTAAAAACCAAAAATAGTTATAGTTTTTTTTTTTGTTGTTGTCATTTTTGTGATTGTTCGACTTTCACTGGTTTATTGTTGTTTTATTGTTAACCATTTCTGTTTGCAGGAATGCTTTCAGCTGCAGCGCTGACCTGTTTATTCTGACAGCAACAGGAACTTGCTCTCAGAATAGACATAAGTCAGCGTGGGCAGCGCTGTTGGATGAGATTTTTCATCCGCAGTTATAAAAAACAGAATATATGCCAAAGCATGGGGGCCTGGGGTGGCCAGTGGGTGGATGGCCCCTATGCTTCGGCATATATATTTTATATTTGTTGGCACATTTCATGTGTGCCCACCATTAGAAGTGGGTGGATTGAGGGAGGTTTCTAATGGTGGGCATACCACCACACACTTTTCCTTATAAAGTTGTTTTATTGAGTTTGTTTTATTGTTAACCATTGTTGATTTTTTTGCAGGAACATCAAACTGCAGCACTGACCTGTTTATTCTGACAGCAACAGGGTCTTGCTTTCAGAATAGACATAAGTAGGTGTGTGCAGTGCTGTCGGATGAGATTTTTCATCCGCAGTTAAAAAAAAGAGAATATATGCCAAAGCATGGGGCCTGGGGTGGCCAGTGGGTGGATGGCCCCTATGCTTCGGCATATATATTTTATATTTGTTGGCACATTTCATGTGTGCCCACCATTAGAAGTGGGTGGATTGAGGGAGGTTTCTAATGGTGGGCATACCACCACACACATTTTCCTTATAAAGTTGTTTTATTGAGTTTATGTTTTATTGTTAAACCATTGTTGATTTCTTTGCAGGAACGTCAAACTGCAGCACTGACCCGTTTATTCTGACAGCAACAGGGTCTTGCTTTCAGAATAGACATAAGTAGGTGTGTGCAGTGCTGTTGGATGAGATTTTTCATCCGCAGTTTAAAAAAAAGAGAATATATGCCAAAGCATGGGGGCCTGGGTGGCCAGTGGGTGGATGGCCCCTATGCTTCGGCATATATATTTTATATTTGTTGGC